TATATTGTTGTTTAACTTGTTTATTCTTGTTTAGTCTTTTATTAAAATAAATAATTAGAAAAAAAAAATAGCGGGTTATTTTTCAGTGGGAAAGAGGAGACGAACGGAAGACCTGAGGGAGCGAGGGGACGTCTGACTGTGGAGAAGCTCAGAAAACAGGCAGGGGCAAAGGTCATGGAGAGCTTTAGCAGTCAGGGAAAAAAATATTTACATAGGATTCAGAATCTGATGGGGAGCCAATGTAGCCAATGAGCAGCTAAGCTCTGAGCTATTTGAGAATTAATGGGAAGGATGGAGGTAGAGAGAGATGAACAGACCTAATGATGCTGGAAAAGAAAGGAGAGGATGAAGAGAAGGAGAGACAGAGGAATAATCCACAGGGAAGGAGGTCTTATTGGTTTTAGAGAGAGGAGAATTGGTACCAATTATAAAGATTTCTGTTTTATCCGAATAGTTTGAGAAGGATGGAGGGTGAGATGGTGCCATAGGCATGAGGAGGGAGAATCAGCCATTATGAGATGAGGTCATTGGCGATCAGGGCTGTTTCAGAGCTATGGGAGGATTTAAAACCACACTGGAACCACTCATAGAAACTGCAGGTGGAGTCAGCACAAAACTGTTTTTAACAGATATTGGAGATAAATAGAAGGTTTGATGTGTGGCAAAGTTACTGAAATCACTGGGATCAGAACCAGAAATGATCGGACATGTTGGACCTGGAATCCTTAGGCTCATTTAAAACTGAGGGAGACGGTTTGTTGACAGAGTCATGGGGAAGAAGGAGGCAGCAGACAGAAGATATCAGACGACTGATGCAGCATCAACAGTCAACAAAGCTGTGATGTTCAAAGTCATTAGTTATGTCATTTATGCATGGATGAATGAAGTGAGCTCAGTGTCTGACCTTCATTCTTTTGACTTTTACTGCAGCCACAGAGCAGCCAATTATGCCCCCTAGTGGCTGTTGATGAAAACAACACATGAACCAAACCAGCATTCAGTCTGACATTTAAACGTCTTTCTCCTTACTTTTTTATCCAGTCAGGTTTTATGACTACATGTCACCATAATGTCGCCCTCTGACTCCAGCTGCAGCCTCCAGCAGGGAACCTCGGCCCACATGTGGTTCATATGCAGAAAGCTGAGTTCCTCAGAGGATGGTCTAATTATAATTATTAATTAGTAATTATATGTCCACCTGTTACCCTGCATACACTGAGCAGAACATAACTGAAATAAATAAATCAAAACAAGCATCCATTTTATAAATAGAGCTCTCGTTCTGTTGAAGGTCTCCTTTAGAGAAGCATCCGCATTCAGATATGATGGGGATACTGACTTCACTCCAGGATTTTTCTGTTTTACTTTTAAAGGAACCGGGTCCGGTTTCTGTTCCACACAGAATCACACTGCAATACTTTACGCTCAGAACCAGTACAAACCAGGACCACAGGCCCAGCTCAGGCTCAAGCAGCTCTGGATTTATATCTTTGCTTCTTTTTCTATGTCTGCTTCTGTCCACTGTCGCTACAAGCATGCTTAGTGTGAGGGATTGCAGTAGAGTCAATGAGTCGATGCAATCAACTGGTTTTCCTTAGATAGAAAACTTTGAATCAATCTGACTGGATGATCTGGTGAACTGGAAAGTGACCTCGGATGAGATGTCCTGTGAAATGGCGCTATAGAAATAAACTGAATTTAATTTAATTGAACTTGTTTTTCTTAATTTCTCTGTGTTTTACTGTGTTCTCTGTGTTACTCCTGGTCTCTTACTGTGAGATTTCCTCTCATCCATGGATTTAATGTTTTATGTGTCAGAAAACTAAAACCAGCCAGGAACTCTGATGCTTTTATTCCTAAAACACCACAAGGCTGCTTTTCTGCTTTGATTTGATCCTTATTCTGTTTCCACAGCTGACCAAAACTTCATTAGATGACTGTGATGCTGGTGTTTATTTATCTCTCTGCTCCAGTTAGAAAGCAGGTAATTCATTAGCTGCAGCTGCATTTAGACCAACCTCCTCTTCCATCCAGGATCAGTGAACTTCCTCTTTATTTAATTTCCACGCAGACTCTGACATGTTAGCTCCTGATTGTCTTTTGAAAAAATAAATCCTGAGGTTTGAGTCTCCTGGTTTCTGTTGGTCGTCAATAACAATGTTCTAGTGAAAGAGCTGCTCAGTTTTTAGGACTGGAAAGAATTCAGCTTAGTACTTGGATCGATACTCATATGTTTCTGAAAATAGTGACGGGAATAAACTGATTGAGTCAAGTGGTCACAGTAACAGTATTATAAGGCCTCCATATACAGGGATCAGTGATAACCAATGTTCCAGGGGTTGGTAATCAAGTCCTCCTTTTTAAGATCCCTAAAAAAGTATTTTCCTTTTTTTTCCTTTTTGGACTCATAAAGCATGTTCAGTCAATAACAGTTACTTTTCCTTTACTTTTTTTAATTTACCAATTTATTCAATTGACCAGTTTAATAATACATTAGAAAATATCTTAATATTTTAGTATAAAACTGTGACTAAATCAATTCTGCATTTTCCATCAGAGCACTTTGACTGATGTTGTTGGAGTTGAAAAAAACATTTAGGATTAAATGCAGAGGTAAATTTCTCCGATCTGAGACCAATAAAGTTAATTTATTAAGAGTTTTCTCTTGACATAATGTTACAATCTGTCAGGTTCCAGTTCTTAGATATTTCCTTCAGTGTTTATTTTGTTTTGTTCATATTCTTAGTTAATCCTCTCAGATTAGATCCTGTGTTTCTCCTTGGTTTAATTAGTGGCTCTCCTCACCTGTTTGCATGCATATTGTCTGCACCTGCTTTAGGCTCCCACCATCCAGCAGTCATTCCTGGTTCTCAGCTTGTTCCGTCTCATTCAGTTCATTCCCTCATGTTCTGCCTTGTAATCTGCTGCTTTGTGTCTCAGCCTCCTCCCCTCCATAATCCTAATTTCTCTAAGGTCCTTTAACAAACTACCAGAGCTCTTAAGGTGTAAATACACCTGAGGCATTAATAGTAAGCACAGCATGGCCATGTCACTCCTTCCTGGTTCTTTGCACTTTAAATTCACCACAACAAAACACAAGGAAGACAGGTAAAGGTCCTTTATGCAGGTTTGTCCAGAGGCCTGATCTGTCCACCGATGCTCTGGAGGAGCAGCTGGGAGAAGATGGTCGACGCTGCAGATGCTAGATGTGACCTGCTGAACCTGCTGTTTCTACCGATAATAAACTGTGTTTCACATTTCTACAGGGACAGGAACCCAGAGCTGCTATTCACTCCATTTAGATCATTTTGGGCCGTGGGTACTTCCTGGATCTGTTACCCACTGCCTTCATTCCTGTTTGGTTTTCAGACTCTAGGTTCTTCCCTGTTTTCTGTTTTGGTTGGATTCTGGTTCCAGTGTTTGTCTTTCTTGGTTCAGGAAGTTTCTGCTGGTTTCTGCTTGTTCTGTGTCCATCAGTCATCAGTCTGTTCCCTTCAGCTGGTTCTTCTACCAGATTCACTTTCTTCCTTTCATCATTGTTTTCCTGTTGCATTTCCTCCCATTTTGAACTTTTTTGAGTTCTTTTTAGTAATAAAATCTCTTTTTGACATCCCAACCCATCACTATTTTGGGTTCCTTTGTGTCCTCAGAACCTGATGCTGAGGATCCATTTCTGACTCTATTCCAGTTTAAAGCCACATAGATGTCTTTGGCCTGCTAGAAAAAACAATTATTTTCCTCACCATGACCTAAGTATGAAGTTTCCTTCTAGGTGATATGAACCTGTGGAAGAATTCCTCTATGAACTGTAGTTCAGACAAACTCTTTCAGATGTAAATTTCCAAATATTTCTTTAGTTAAATCGCTGCTACATGCTTTTTTTTACTTCCATCTCAGTCCTTTCTGAAACTTTACATTGTGAATCTGTCTCAGTCAGCATAACTAGGGTAGAATATATCCAGTAGGTTAATGCTGATTACAGCAGCTTCATTAAAGACTGCTGTCATCAGACTGATCAGAGGCCATTGTTGTTGGCAGAGAAAAACCATCTAGAATTCATTCTTATCAGAGGTTTCTATGTTTAATGAGTCTCACCTAAACTCACCTTCATTTCCCGAACAGACTTGTGGATTTCTTCCACTTTCCTTTCTCTCTCAGAGATGAGCTCCTTTAACTCCACCTCATGGATCCCCAGCTGTGACTGCAGATAAACAGGATAAATCAAATCAAAAAGTTTGATCAGTAATAACAGCATCAGCCAGACAGACTGCAAACTGAGATTTTACAATTTGAACTCATATAGAGTGAACCTGGGACAGTGTTACGAAAAAGGTTTACAGAAAACTCTAAGCTTTCTAAACCTGAAAAAAAGGAAACTCTGAGTTTTCTGTTTCCCAAGAGCTAAGCTGGTCATCTGAGGGGTTTCTTTAGTCAACTCAAAGTGTCCTCTGTCTCTGCTCACCTTACAGCCATAATTCACTAGGTCAGTTAGATACATTAGGATTTAAAAACAAACATTGCATGTCCGTTTGACGAGGGTCTTATTAAAGAATGTGTTAGGAATCCAGTTTGTGTGGGTTGTGTTTTTGTTTGTCTTCCCTCCACCACCAGGTGGCGCCTGGTTCTCGTTGGCCTTCTCGCACACCTGCGGATGGTTGCCTCATTACCGGAGGACTCTTAAGCTGCTGACTGCCACTACCTCGACACCAGAGTGTTTGCCAGTTTTGGGTACTCTAGCCATGCTGAGTTTTGTCACCTGAGTCTTAATCTTGTTGTTTTTGTCTTTGCCTCTCGGCAGGAAGTCATCCTGCTAACTAGATGTTTTGGACCTTCTCCCCCCTGGAAGGATCGTCTGACCACCAAATTGAGCTGGAATTCAAGTTTGTGGTTTGGATCTACTTTTCCCCAAGGATTGTTTTGCCGTCTCTCTGAGCAGGGGATTCATCTCCACAAGAAAGCGTTCAAGTACCACAGGAAATCTAAGTGGCAGTCAGCTCCACTGTTCCTCAAGGAAACACCTCAACCTGGTTAAACCCTGTCCGCCCTCCAACGAACAAGTCTATTACTGGAACAACCCACACCGACTGGATTCAACGAAACACACCTTTTTCTGGAAACGGGAGTCCTGTTGCATTTATTCCCTTCTTCAAATCAAAGACACAAATTTCCGACTGTCCCTGAACTAACCGCAGAATCTTCCCCTTCACTTTTCAGTCCCGTTTCACAGTGTTCAGAGCAGCACTGGACTCCTCTCTACCTACTCACAATAAAACCTGTTAAACTTTCCCCTGGTCTCTCTGGTTTTCTGCATGTGGGTCAGATCTTTTGATAAATCATGACAGAATGATCGGCATTTTTTCACAGAGAATTAAATATTTAGAGGGAGAGGAAGCTACCACCCAGTGACAGGATGTGAGATTATTTGTTTTTGGTTTGTTTAATATGAGCGAGATGCAGATTTTTTTTTTATTTGGTTATATTTACAGTACATGAAGAACTACTGATATTATTTTCAGATTACACGTTAATAGAGTCTTTCATTCCACGGGGGGAAAGGAACTACCTTAGGTTAAGGATTAGGATTCACTCTATGATAACCACCTAGCGAGCCTACTGGCACAATCTTAAGCCATTCTATGGGTTATCATCCCAATAAATGGCTGTGATTAGCGGCCATTTATGGGGATGATAACCCATGATGATAACATCCGAAGCACGACTGCAAACAGCCATTTAGTATTTACTGTGTAAAAGAGACTGAATCAACATGAGGAGGAACCCATGAGATGATGCACAGGTTCTATATATTAGAACAAC